TCAAGTTTCCAGCCGTTCATTTCTATCATCTAGTTACTCGACAAGCAACAATCTAAGCTTGAGGGAGTTTGTTGGCTCTATTTTATAGTTTTTAGAGTTTTATTCGTGGTTTGACTTAGGGTTTTATGGGTTTCACCTTTCTAGTAACAAATATTTGTCGAAAATAGAGGATCATTGTACTCTTGCTTTGATTTTAGGATCCAAAACTTTTGGTAGGATATAAGGCAATATTTCAGTATACAAGCAAGAAAAGAGACAACTTTTCATTTGGTGTTGATAGAAGACAATACAAACAACGGTATGAGCGCGAGTGCTCATACCAGTAGTCGTATCAAGTTCCACCGCCTTCCTATCATCTACCCCAAAAACTTTCGTGAAGGATGACAGACCAGCAAAGCAATGAAGGATGAAGAACCATATGTCAGAGCAAGGGAAGAGATATTTGGAGGAGAATTTCTTCACTTAGTTTCGTTCTGGACTCCTTTGCACCGAGATCCTCCATTCCACTGGTCATTAGACAGACATTTTAAGGCTAGGGTTTGTATAATCTATTACTACCTTGACACGAATATCGTGATCTGGATAATCATTCCTCTTATTGTGACGAACTATGGTAATATCAATATGAGTTCCCTTTACTTGATCTACATGTTTGATTGTGAACCTTCTCTTAAGTGTGAGTAACCCCCTGGTCATGGGAGATGTATGGGATTGGTGAGATATGTTTGTGCCCAATACTTAATTATATAATTGTGTGGTTATCTTGATGATTGTAAACAAGGTTGACTATTGACACGTCTCCGACATATCTATAATTTTCGATTGTTTCATGCTATTATATTATCAATCTCGTATTCTTTATATGCAATTTTCTATCATTTTTGGGGACTAACCTATTAACCAAGTACCTAGTGTCAGTTATTGTTTTCTGCATGTTTTTGGTTTTACAGAAAATCCATATCAAACGGAGTCCAAACACGACGAAACTTTTTGACATTTTTTC